AGACAGAGACAGAGTCCTGTTTTTGGAGAAAAAAAGGATGTGTAATCAATAAATAACCTTTTACTGGCTTAGGTTTCTTTTTAACCCATTTGCAGCCCTCTCTCGCCTATAAACTGGGAATCTATAATTCAATGAAGAACTCTTCATTATCAGGAAGCTAAAAACCAATTGTTCTTTTGTATATCTGTACCAGCACACGCTGCATGAAGAAAGCATGAGAGTGATGACTGAAGACATGCCTTCGGAAATTTCTTATGTGCCTTCTACTTATCTGACTGAGATCACGCATGTCTCACAAGCCCTATCCGAAGTGGAAGAAATTCTCAATGCCCCTGAACTCTGCGCTAAAGATTTTGAAGATCTATTTAAACAAGAGGAGTCCCTGAAGGTAAAGGAAAAGCACTTTCATTTAGATTTTGTAAGATTATTACATTGATCACTTATAGTTCCAGAACAATTGACGTAGATTATACACAGAGTGAAGGTATTTTGAAAAAATTGTAAAATACAGGCTGTCTAGTTATAGAAATCTGAGGTAGAAATAGATACACAAAGTGTTATTTTAAAATATTCAGCATTAAAACACTTTTCAAAATGAAATACACAAGAATTATAATTTTAATGTGCACTTATATATGACAAAAATCACAAGAAGCAAGTTCTAATAGAGGAACAGTTTATTTTAAACCAATGTATTTTCCTTGCACCCTAAGGAATATTAGATAAAATTTTCAATTATGTTCATTGTACATTGTTTTTGCTTTACATTTTCCATTCTAATATATCCAATTTCAAATTAATATTAACACCTATACTATAATGTACGGAACATGGTATAGAAATCACTAAAAGAGAAAAAAGAAATCAATGAAATAATTTTTAAAACTACCAGTTAAAGATTATCAGTGAAGTGCAGCTTTTTCAAACCTCTAATAGCATGATACTGAATTCTGAAACAAATCAAATCATGCTGAAAGAAAAAATAATGAATTTTAGAAGGCAATGTCTCAAGTTAAATGAATATAGCATCAAGAAAATGCACATAATAATGTGTGTTTTGCCATAATTTTTTATCGTACATTTCACACTCAAAATGAAATATTGTAGTATAGCCAGGGCTTGGTATTTTCCAGTGCAAACAGCATAAGATAATAGACAGAAAATGAGTTTGCTATCAGTAGCACATATTAACTACAGTATTTTATACTCTAAATGATTTCTTGGGAGTTCATTCTACATTACATATCTGTCTGCATAAATGTTCAAATGGATAATGCTATTTGTTTTGGAAATCAGTGTTTCACTGTCTTGAGTCACTTGACTTTAATATCTTGTATCATAAAAGCCTTAAAATTTCACACTAAAATAAAATAAGAGCTACATGGCTCTGTGGAGCTAGTCCATCCATTTCAGTATGATGCTGTTTCTTTCTCACTTTGAAATAAAAGTCAAATCACTTATGGATACAGTGAAGGAAACAAACCCAGTGTACTGATAAAGGAGTCATGCCAGAATGATTTTCATTATTCACAGAAACTAACTTTTTTTGACAGCACAGTTAGTAAATTTATCATTATCATTTGGCATGTAAATCATGCTCATGAGATTATACTTTCATTTGCACACACACAGTGCCTACAAAATCAAGTAGCCCTGAACTTACTGAAGTTGCCACTGAATCCCCTGGTCTGTATAACTCTTAACCTAGCAAACTTCTATACTTGCTAGTCATTCATTCATGCTGATAAAATAATATTATCATAGCTGCTACCAATTGTAATTGTATCAATTACTATGGTTTGTAAGAAGGCATTATTGCAGGTTTAATTTAGTTGGATTATTGAATCCTTCTGAGATGCAGTTGCAGGCTTAATTCCAATGCTTTCCCCACAAATCTTCTGCAGCAGGCCAATAGGATTCCTATTTTCATGGGCTATTTGAAGAGGGATAGTTTTGAGCTCAGTCTTCAATGAATATGTATTTTCTCTTAAAGGCATTCATCATTGTCATTATCCAGTAGTAAAAATAGAAAAGTAGTACATAGAATGTACAGCTGCTGGTTGAGATGGTTTGAAATCAAATTGTGGTTGATTTTATTTCTGACAGTTTTGCATGATTCAAATTATAGAACTACGATACATAATGGTGTCCTTTAATATACATATTTCTTGAAAGTGCAATAAAATGCAAATACTGTGTAATAAGTTAAAATAATTATTTTCTGAACAAAACATAACTAGAATAGCACATATGATTTCAATAGATATATACAATTAGAAAGCTCACTAATGATTTTATTGATATCATTTTTATTGATATCATTTTAATGATATATACAATTTGAAAGCTCATTATTCAGAATAATGCCTGCTTACATATGGTAAGCTGCACTTAATATATAATACACAAACTATGGAATACTAGATATGAATGAGAAATATAATCATATGTAATATGCATTATTATTTCATAGTCAATATTGACATTGTTAATCAATTGTCATTCTTTATATATAAATTTAATAATATTCATTATATAGTAAATAGCACCATAATTTTGAAAAAGAATTTTGAACCCTCCAAACACTTGTTTTACAAAAAAGATTGTCATAAAATCCGTCAAAGTTTAATTCATATGTTATGTCATCAAATCCTACTTCAAAGTACCTCACATTAATGCATAGAGAAATCATCAAAACTTCAAGTTGAAAACTTTCGCCCATAGAGAACTTTAGGCATTTGAAATATTGTCCAGAAAGTAGAAATTACCCATGTAGGATTCCAGTGGAAATAACTTACTCTAATGCATCTGTATATCTGATTTTACCAAAAATCTCAGTTTCATTCATGTGTGCAACACTATGGGAAGCTTCACCTCCCATGTCCACACAGAATTCCCTGCAGCTACCATGAGGTGTCTCTCAGTATAGAATGCTCTTGGAAAAGTTACTGGAATTCTAATAAATTAATTACAATCTATCACTTCCAGTGCAACACATGGTGAGAATAAAGATAAGACATATTTGTAGCTGTGGGGAACTGTATCAGGGCAGTAGCCAATGTTTTAGGGTCAGTACTTCTCCTTTGATGTGTAATTTTCAATCTCTGAGATACGGTAGCCTCTTTTCTCGAGATTCACTCTTGGTGTAGCTAGCATCTCTCTGCCTAGCTCACACAACTACTTGAGAGCTGTAGGCGGAGCATCAGTGACTTGTCTCATTGCTTTAAAGGCTACACTGCAACACCTCCCTAGATGCATTAGCATTGCCTAAAGAGAATTGAGGGGCTAAGGAAATGTCCTTGCCATCTGTGTACATGTCAACACATGGAGGTAGGGCGAAATGCTCTTCATTCGAGAAGCTTTGTCCATGTGCTCCTCCATATCTGTTCATTTCTTTGAGTTATTACTCTAGTTATCAAAGGTCACAAGTTTCTGGGAGTTAGGGCTCTGCATGCTCACCTTTCAAGAAGTTCTTAGGGAACAGGAGAAGGCATTTGTTGAGTCCACCCCTTAGCTTGGAATCTCTGAAATATGATTCACCCTCAGACCTAATGCTCTGAGCCAGTATTAAGACTTTGTTGCATACTGGAAGCCTCCCACCTATGGTGCTCTTCATTGCTTCCCTGTCTTAAACTATATTCTTATGTTAGATCTGCTTCTAGGGAAAATCTGTGTTGGGCAACTGTGAAGGAAACAATGACATATACAAGTAAATTGTATTGTCTGAAATGCATCATGCCACTGATGTGAGATTCTTCTGGTGTGCTGCTGCTTGCTCCTTAAGGAATTCTCTAGTTGTTGAACCAAGTTGTTGTTATATTCATAAATGTAATTTTAATGGAAAATTAAGAGTTAATAATAAGGAAAACAACTCGGCTTTAATTTTTCCAAGAATGAGAATCAACTTGAGTGCTTAAGTCTTCTTTTTATACCTCACCTATATTTAATTGCTTGATCCTGCCTGCAATTCTATGAAGTATCTCAAATTATCTGCATTTGTTCATGAAGAAACAGAGGGAACATGCAATAATAAACAAAGTTGACACAACTACTAGTGGTTAAGTAAGGATTTTGACACAAAGGAGCTTCAGTATTTATGCTTTCTGAAACTACCTTCAATATAGATCTTTCTAAAATGTTATGTGGAGCATTATAAAGGTAAACTGAGCAAAAGAAGGTAAAGAAAAAAAAAGGAGATAAAGTAGTGAAGTCTGTTGTTCGCAGTCCTTTAAAAATGCCCTGAATTCTGGGGCTGGGATTATAGCTCAGCGGTATAAGCACCTGCCTGGCAAGCACAGGTTCTAGTGTTGGTTCCCCAGTACCGCATTAAAAAAAGTCCTGATCTAATTCTAAATGATTCAATGGCAAGGAAAAATGATTATGTAGAAGAAAGAAGTAAGGTAGAAGGAAAGAAAAATAAAAGGAAATACAGATGAAAGGAAGAAGGAAAGGAAATAAAAAGTCAGGCATGTATCATTTCAATGGTCTCCTCTAGATGAATGATTGTAAAGATTCTATGTTTAACATGAATAAAATATGTTGTATTTTTGGTAGTTAAGAGTTTGAGAAGAAGGAAGCTCACAGGTCTTAACAGAAGACTTAGATTCAATGTAGAATTCAAGGGGTATCAAGGAATAAATGAAACCCTTGTTCAATCTCAGTTTCATAATAAAAAACTTAGAGTGAGCTTAAAAAATCAAAAACAGTGTGAAGAAAAGTTGCCACGGTCTTCTTATACCAGTTCGAGTCTTATGCATTGCTCTTGGGACCTAAACTGAGTTGTTAAAACAACCAATAACCTAAGGAATTCCTTCATTCCTAAAGTATTTTTTATTCTTTTACGGTGTTCTGGCTGCTGCTCTGTGTATTTACAAAACAGTGAGCGAAACCAAGGGGCTTCTGCTGTCCTACCATTTTCTATTAGGGCATTGGGTGATAGAACATGAGCAAGTAACAACAACAAAAACTAAATATTGAGTATTACAAAGTGATCCATATTATGACAAAAAGAAAACATGAAGTTTGATACTGGGATATAGGTCTAATAAAGAGGTAGTAGTCGATGGTATGGCAATAGGTGGAGTTGCAAATTTAAAGAAAATTGAAAGGACATGCAAGCATACATTGGTATGAAGTAAGCAAGCCAGCTTTTCTGTCTGGGTAGAGCAAATAGAACAAGGACTAAATGTTGGAGTGAGCTTATCTTAACCAAAGAAAAGCAAGATGATCAGTGTAACTGGAGTAAAGCAAATCAGGGACATGACTATAGGACATGAGATTACGAACTTGGGAGGGCATTATCAAGGCTCTGTTATAGTTGAATGGGTCAAAATTAGTCCACATTCTTGTACAGGACAAGGAAAGCATTGCCAAGCATACCCTATTAGT